AGGAATCACCACACTGATTTCCAAAGTGGCTGTACAAGTTGGCACTCCCATCAGCAGTGGAGAAGTGTTCCCCTTTCTCCACATCCTCTCCAGCATAAACTGTCATTGGTGTTTTTGATTTTGGCCATTCTGACAGGAGTAAGATGGTATCTCAGAGTTGTTTTGATTTGCATTTCCCTGATGGCTAAGGATGTTGAACACTTTCTTATGTGTCTTTCAGCCATTTTGATTCCTCTATTGATAACTGTCTAATTAGTTCTGTACCCCACTTTTTAATTGGATTGTTTGGTGTTTTAGAGACTAGCTTCTTGAGTTCTTTGTATATTTTGGAGATAAGCCCTCTTCTGTCAGATGTGGAGTTGGTGAATATTTTTTCCCGTTCTGTGGGCTGCCATTTTGTCTTGCTGACTGTGTCCTTTGCCTTATAGAAGCTTCTCAGTTTCAGGATGTCACATTTATCAATTGTTAATCTCAGTGTCTGTGCTACTGGTGAAATGTTCAGGAAGCAGTATCCTGTACCAATTAATTCATTTGGTATTCTATTAGGTAAAGTGTGGCTGGATTTATCTTGAGCTCTTTGATCCATTTTGACTTAAGTTTATTTCCTTTGTTTCTAATTTATCAATTTCTGCACACAATTTTTTTTTTTTCTTTCTAGATGCAATCTTCTACATGTCTGCAACCAGTTATGCCAGCACCATTTGTTGAACATGTTCTCCTTGTTCCATCGTATAAATTTGGATTGTTAATCAAAAATCAGGTGTTCATAGGTGTGTGAGTTAATATCAGGGTTTGCAACTCTATTCCATTGGTCTACCTGCCTATTTTTGTGCCAATACCAACCAAGCTGTTTTCAGGTCTATAGCTCTCTGATAGAGCTTGAAGTCAGGGATGGTGATGCCTCCAGAAGTTCCTCTATTGTACAGAGTTGTTTTGGCTATCCTGGGTCTTTTGTTTCTCCATATAAAGTTGAGAATTGTTCTTTCAAGGTCTGTGAAGAATTGTGTTGGGATTTTGATGGAGATTGCGTTGAATCTGTAGATTGCTTTTGGCAAGATTGCCATTTTTACTATGTTGATCTTACCTATCCAAGAGCATGGGAGATCTTTCCATTTTCTGGTATCTTCTTTAATTTCTTTCTTTAGAGACTCAAAATTCTTATGGTACAGGTCTTTCATGTTTTTGGTTAGTGTTACCCAAAGGTATTTTATGTTGTTTGTGGCGATTGTAAAGGGTGATGTTTCTCTGATTTCTTATTCCACCAATATGTCATTGTAGGGCTACAGATTTTTTTGAGTTAATCTTTTATCCTGAAAGTGTTTATCAGTAGGAGTTCCTGGTAGAGTTGTTCGGGTCACTAATGTAGACTACCATATTGTCTACAAATAGTGAGAGTTTGACTTCTTCCTTTCCAATTTGTATTCCCTTGATCTCCTTTTGTTGTCTTATTGCTCTAGCTAGAACTTCAAGGACAATATTGAAGAGGTATGGAGAGAGTGGACAGCCTTGTTACTATAAATCTTTCCACTAAAAGCTGTCTGAGCCCCACTGCCACATGTGAGCTTTACGCCAGCTGCCCGCCCAAGTTAGGCCCAAATGAATACACAGACTTGTATTAGTTACAATGCTGCTTGGCCAATGACTAGGATTCTCATCTGTTATCTCAGTCTCAATTATCATACATCTATATATTTTATAAGACTTATCTTATCGGACGCCTTATTGGCGTCCCTCCTAGCTGGTGGATCACATCGTGTCGTTGGAGCAGGAGCCGAGGGAAAAAGAGGGCCCTTCCTGTTTCTCTTTCGCTTAAATATGAGTCTCCTTGCTATGTCACTTCCTGTCTGGATCAGCACTTCTCTACTACATTTCCCAGAATCCTCTTTGACTCCTAGTTCCATCTAACTTGCTGTCTCATTGGCCAAACAGTATTTTATTCAAAAATCAATAAGATAAACATATACAGTAGTACATTCCCCATCACAGCCTTGTCTTGTTCCTGATTTTAGAGGAATTGGATTGAGTTTCTCTCCATTTAATTTGATGTTGGCTGGTGGCTTGCTGTATATTGCTTTTATTATGTTGAGGTATGTTCCTGTTATCCCTGATTTCTCCTAGACCTTTATCATGAAGGGGTGTTGAATTTTGTCAAAGGCTTTTTCAGCATCTAGTGAGATGATCATGTGGTTTTTTTTCCTCAGTCTGTTTATGTGGTGGATTACATTGATGGATTTTCATATGTTGAACCATCCTTGCATCCCTGGGATGAAGCCTACTTGATCATGGTGGATGATTTCTCTGATGTGTTCTTGGATTCGATTTGCCAGTAGTTTATTGAGAATTTTTGCATCAATGTTCATGAGGGATATTGGTCTGTAGTTCTCTTTCTTAGTTGTGTCTTTGTGTGGCTTAGGTATCAAGGTTATTGTAGCCTCATAAAAAGAGTTTAGCAATGTCCCTTCTGTTTCTATTGTGTGGAACAATTTGAGGAGTATTGGTATTAGCTCTTCTTTGAATTTCTGGTAGAATTCTGCAGTGAAACCATCTGGCCCCGGGCATTTTTTTGTTTGGGAGTTTTTTGATGACTGCTTCTATTTTCTTAGAGGTTATAGGTCTGTTTCTGTTTAAGTTGCTTATCTGTTCTTGATTCAATTTTCGTAAGTGATAACTGTCCAGAAGTAGATATTTTTTTTCTTGTTTTTCTTATTAGGGCTTTTTTTTTTTTTTTTTTTTTTTTTTAGCACACCCTACATAGGAAAATGCAGCAATTTGACTATTATGTCTTATAAATTTTCAGGATTGTGTTTATAATTCTCAGGATTTAAGGAAAATCAAAATTAGTTGACCTTATTCAAAAGGAATGTTATTTTCTAGGTCATGACAGAATGTGTCTTATTGAAAAAATGTAAGTTAATTTATAAAAACATAAATGTTAGCCTCTTCCTTATCTTGGAATGCTGTCAAGTATTTTTGCCTTTAGTTGCTCTCATTTTGATTATTTTATGACCCTTTGATGAGTCTGCTTTTTCTTTCCTCAATGTAGGAAATAAATTATCTTGTGTTTACTAATGCGGACTACAGACATATTGTGAAGCAAACAAACTGCACATAAATAAATGCTACCAGGATACTAAGACTACAAAAACACTTTTCCAGTATTTTCATGAATCTGTAAAATTATGTGACTAGAGGTCATTTTTCCAAACAATGGGGGAAAGAGCCAGAAGTACAGATGCTGATCAAGAAAGAAAATCAGGCAAACACCATTCCTCTCACTATTCGTCTGACTTTGGGTCCACGCCACAGTCTTCTGTCTATTCATCACCCGTCCATCAGCCTAAATGTCCAAGTACTAAGGAGAAGAATCCCAAAAGACACTTGTCAGGCCACCAGGTGTATCACCAAGGTAAGTGTCTATTGTAGAAGATCCCAGGCACCCAGACCCTAGGGACAGCGAGGCTAAAACCCATGTGAACGAAGCTTTTCTTCTAGGGTGTATGTTACTCTGTGTGTGGAATGGGCTGATTTTCACTTCAGATAGGCTTTGTTTCCATAAATGAGGTGTTGCTTATATGTATACATTACTATATCTTACCATTTTTATGTTCAAAGTCACACAGAGGAGAGCACTAGAAGGCTGCTCCTTTTCTCTCTTCCTAAGGAGATGTCTTTCTTGTGATCTCAGAGGCACTTACTGTAAAGGCAAAACCTGTAAAGCAATTGCACTTTTTCTATCACTGTTTTGGAAAGGAACTAAAAGCAGTGATCTGAACTGGTCATGGTTCCTTGGTAGCACTGTTGACAGCACTGGTGGTTGGTGCAATGGTCACTGAAAACATGCGGCTTAACCTGGGGATGGGCTCAGGGCTCCAGATTATCATCCAACTTGTTTGCCATTCACTGATTCGAAGAAGACTAGATTGTTATTAAACAGTTTTTGTTATTAGAATGTTACTATTTGGGAGCATGCATAGCTGTGTACTGTTATATAAATCCCCTCATTTTAATAAATCTATGGGTCAGGAAAAATCCCATTTCATGGAGCAACAGAATGCACAAAGTCTATAAAAATGGCCTAAAACAGTAAGCTGTGGCAAGTGAGGTAATCACGGCGCATTGATGCAAGTAGCACAGTTCTGACACCACTGCAGATTACCGAGACTTCCTGATGCCAGCTAGGGAGCTTCACGAAGCTGAGGGATGAGAAGAAAACAGAAGCCACATAATGAAATACCTACAGCCTATGGTAACAGGCTATACCCATTGTTTTTGTGGGTGACAGCTGTTGGACTGATTTAAAAAGGGTGTAATTAAATTTGCATTAAAATTGTTACCTTGAAAAGTAATGTTTACACATTAAAAACTACAAAGAGGACCAGCCAGGTGGCTCAGCGGCAGGTTAAACGTATTTGTTCCTCAAGCCTGATCATGTGAGTTTGGCTCAGGAACCATGGAGGAAGGAGAAACCCAGATCCACAAACACAAACTTTGCCCTTTGATCTACAACATATACACGCACTCTCTGCAATGCTAATAATAGTAATAGTGATAATAATAATAATGAAGAAGAAGAAGAAGAAGAAGAAGAAGAAGAAGAAGAAGAAGAAGAAGAAGAAGAAGAAGAAGAAGAAGAGAATTGCAAAGAAACGTATCTGCAGGAGAACGACCTGCTCATGGATCCCAGTCCAGCGTCTCAGGATGCCCATCTGTTGACATATGAGTGCTTTTCTTGTTTGATTGCCATTCCTTTTAGGCTGCTTCTTCTTTTCTTTTCTTTTTCTCCTTCTAAGCATAATCTTTGTTTTCAACCTTCCTCTGAATCTGCTTCTTGTAATTAGTTGGGAATATGGTCTCCAGCTTCTATACACATCTCGTGTCAAGTTGAACCTCAGAAACCGCCTGGTATTCCCAAGGATAATTTACATATATAGGGTATTGTTGGCAAGAAGCACATTTAGTTTTCTGTTCCTCTCCCAGAAGTTCCCCAGTTAAGGCCTCAAAACTTCATGAGCTTTACCTTATTTGAGAAGACTGTTGAGAACAATCAGACCAGTGAAAAAACGATTCCAGCAGCAGTCAGAAAATTTCAGTTATTATCTCCTCTCTGCCTTGCATGGCTTTCTAATCTGTGATGTCTTAAATTAAAGTCTAAGGTCATTTGTCTGCCTTAGACCAAGCAACAGGACCAAACTAAATTAATTTCTTGTCTTAGTTACTGTTCTATTGCTGTAGAGACACCATTACCACAGCATCTTATAAAAGAAAACATTTAATTGGGGACTTACCCACAGTTTTGGAGGGTTATCCAGTGATCATCGTGGCAAGGAGTATGATGGCAGGCAGGCAGGCAAGAGAGAGAGAGGAAGAGAGAGAGGGGGGAGATAGAGAAGGAGAGAGAGGAGGGGAGGGCAGAGGAGGGGAGGGGAGGGTAGAGGAGAGACTGGGCCTGGTGTCACACCTCCTGCAACAAGGCCACATCTCCCAATCCTTGCCAAACAGTTTCACTAACTGGGGACCAAGCTTTCAAACATGAGAGGCTATGGGGACCATTCTGATTCAAACCACCACACTCCCACTCCTGGTACCAACTTCTGTCATGGTTACTATTCTTTTACTGTGATGAGACAGCATGACCAAGGCAACCCTTATGAAAGAAAGCATTTAACTCGGGTCTGGCTTACAGTTTCCGAGGGTTAGTCTATTATCACCATGGTGCGGGAGAAGTTAACTGAGAGCTTTACATTCTGATCCTCGGGTAGCAGGCAGAGAATGAGATGGCCTGGTGTGGGCTTTGACTTGGAGGTTTTTTTTTTTTTTTTTTTCATTTTAACCTTTTGATAGGCCTTTAGATCCCTCTTTTTAAAGAGTAGTTGTGATATCCTGAGGCTTAAGCTCAATAGATTTTAATGAAAATGCTTTAAAATTTTTGAGAAATGTTATAATTTAATATGTATACTTACAGAATTTTGTGTGCTTTAAAATGACATTTGTTTTATTTATATGTGTATGTCTTTGTGTATGCTTCTCTCTGTGCGTCTGTGTGTGTATCATGTATGTATGTGTATGTGGAGGGTGGAAGACGACCTTGGGTGTCGTTTCTCTGGAGCTATCTATCTTGTTTGTTGTGACAATAACTCTTCCTGTGTTTATAGCTTGCCCAAGTAGGCCTGATTGACTGGCTGGTGAGCTGTAGGATCTTTCTGTCCTCACCTTTGCAGTGCTGGGATTACAAGCTCACACCACCACACCAGGCTTTACCAAGGCTAGGTTTTTCATGTGGGTCGTGGAGAGCGAACACAGGTCTTTGTGCTTGTGTGACACATACTTTCAGAACTGAGCTGTCTCTTACCCCAAAACCTCTTTACAGAGAAACATATCAAGACATTAGAACATTCCTGGCATTTAATTTTTGCATAGCCCTGCAACTTGCTGTATATACCAGACTGGCCTTGAACTTAGAGACCCACCTGCTTCAGCCTCCCAAATGCTGGTATTAAAGGCATGTGCCACCATATCCAGCCTATAAGATCATTTTTTAAGAAGAAAAACTAAAAGTTATGTAGATCCACATGTTCTTAATGGATAAATAGTAACATGGGTATGGCCATCACTCACATATTACTGTTTCTTTTTTAGCCGTTAGGAAAGTTAGCCCTAAGGCTGGACCCAGCAAAAAGGGAAGCCGAATAGGATTTCGATCCCAAAGCCTCAACAGAGAGCCGCTTCGGAAAGATCCAGATATCATTACAAAGCGGATTCTGTCTGCAAGGCTTCTGAAAATCAATGAGCTGCAGAACGAAGTGTCGGAACTACAGGTCAAGCTAGCCCAGCTGCTCAAAGAAAACAAGGCTTTGAAAAGCCTTCAGTTTCGTCAGGAGAAAGCACTGACCAAATTTGAAGACGCAGAGAATGAAATCTCACACCTTATACAGCGTCACAACAATGAGATTACTGCGCTCAAAGAACGCTTAAGAAAATCCCAGGAGAAAGAACGGGTGACAGAGAAAAGGGTGAAAGACACGGAAGGTGAACTATTTAGGACGAAGTTTTCCTTACAGAAACTGAAAAAGATCTCCGAGGCTAGACACCTCCCAGAACGAGACGATTTGGCCAAGAAACTGGTTACGGCAGAGTTAAAATTAGATGACACCGAGAGAAAAATTAAGGTAAAATTGTACACCTTCACATTGTGTTCTATGGCTGGTATTCACTGGGCATTTTGAGGGCTCTGATTAAGCAGCCCCTTGCAGTTTGGCCTTTGCTTAGACCTGAAAGTGCATTTTAATATTATTTTTCCTGGATAGAAATCAAGGACAGATCCAGGCTGGTGGTTCAGGCTTTTAGCTGTAAAACTCAAGATGCCTGGGTATCTTGGTGAGCTTGAGACTAGCCTGGTCTACTTTCTAGGCCAGCCAGTGCTACGTAGTGATTCCCTGTCTCAGGCAACAACAGAACCACAGACAAAATCATGGACAATTAAGGATGTATATTTAGGGGCTGGGAAGAGAACTTAGTCTGTAAAGGAGTTGCTCCACAACCATGAGGACCTGAATTCCACCCCCAGCACTTACATAAAAATGGCTGGGTGTGGTAGGCGGTGGTGAGCACTTGCAGTTTCAGTGCCAGAGAGAAGGTGAAGAAAGGCACATCTATGGGGCTCACTGAGCAGCTAGTCTGGTCTCCTTACTGAGCTCTGGGTATCGGTGAAAGACCAAGGTGGCCAGCTGCTAGGAATGAAACCCAAGATTGATCTCTGGCCTCCACACATGCACATCCATGTATGCATACCTTCACTACGCAAAAGAGCATGTATTTAAGAGTTAGATGTCAAAGACTGTATATATTATTAGTAAGCCATATGCTGATGGGTGAGTTTGAATCTTGGTAGTTTCTGGAAACACTGTGTTTGGTCGTTTGATTGTCTTTGTTATATAGTAACCACCCTGTACAAAATATTCCTTTCCATGAAGCTAATAAAGGGGCAAAGAAAAGGCCATGCAATATCATGGTCAAAAAGCAAAAATAGAAAGGGGACTAGCTGGGGGCAAAGAAGAGAATCACGTGGCTTAAGGGATATGGGAGGGGGGCAGTGGAGGAGGGAAACAAATGAGAAGTATGATGGCCCGTGGGTATAAAATGATTTTAGTGAAACTGTGTGGGGCCCTTTGTATAAGAAACCTATACCAACAACAGTCTGTGTGAGGGTGGGGTGAGGCAGAGACAGGCCTGGTGCATGTTATCTGGGCATTTGGGAAGCTGAGGAAGGACTGAGTTCAAAGCTAACCTTGACCTTAAAGCCAGACTATGTCCCTTAAAAATAAGGGTAATGCCTTCCCTTTTCGTTTTGCTTTTTTTTTTCTTTTACCTATTTTGAAATCATTGTAGATAGACATGCATTAATAGAAAGATTATGGAAACCATATGCATTAATAGAAACCATATTACAAAGTATGATTTTCCCCATATTTTATAATCATCACACAATATTAGAGTCAGGGAGTTAGTTCTCATACAGTGTGAAATGATCCAGCAAACTCCTCAGCTTTCCCTGGCTTTATTTGTATGCAGATGTATGTTTGATTACATGCATGGTTTTTGTGACCATGGCTTAGGTCAAGATGCAGATCAGAGATACCTTTTATCCTTCCCTCTCTAGCCTGAGGCATTCACTACTAGGCGTCTCTATAATTCTGTAATTTCAAGGATGCTGTATAACTGGAGTTGCTTATTGCATAGGCTTGATGCTGGCATATGTCACTTATACTCTAATGCTAGCTGCTGGATGAGTAAACAGCTTGGATTTCTGAGTAGTACTTGACAGTGTGGTGACAGAGTGTCATGGTATAGCCAATTGAAGGATATTACCCTTTAGCTTTTGTACCAAGCAATAAAGCTGCTAAGACCATTTGTGTATAGATTTTCTGTATGAACATGACTTTCATTTATCAGGGATGTGTCCATGGAAGTACAGGTCCTGGATTGTAGAACGTCTGCCTGTCTTTGTCAGAAACTGTCCCCGCCTTTTTAGGGTAGCTGTGCCAGTGGGTGTTCATCAACAGTGCCTCCCCGCTCTGGTCCTTCTCTTCCCTATCAGCATGTCAGCATTCAATATTAACCCTGTTTCAACCCGTTCTCCCAGGCCTGCAGCACCCTTTCCTGTGCTGCTAAACTGCACTTTCCTAAGGTGTTGGAGTTGAACATCTATTTGTGATTTTTATTCAGCGTATTTTTGTTTTGTTCCTTGGTGGGGGTTTTTCCTTCACATCTGCTAAGTGAATTCTCTCTCTCTCTCTCTCTCTCTCTCTCTCTCTCTCTCTGTCTCTGTCTCTCTGTCTCTCTCTCCGTCTCTGTGTGTTTTCTGTTGACTTTTGACAGTTCTTTTCTCACACTCTGTAACTTTTATTACCATCTTCACGGATGGAAAGATATTTCAAGAGGGAAATATTTTAATTTCATTGTGGTCCACTTGACCAGATTTTTCCTTCATCTATTTACTGTGCTTTGGTGTCTAAGAATGATTCATCCCTATTGTCCTTTGCTTATAGCATAAAGATCACCTCCTGTGTTGTGACCAAAATTATTTTCTTTTCTAATCTTTGTTGAGGGATTATCTGTATTTAAGGTATATGGCTCAATGTTTCATAAACACTTCTGTTTTATGTTGACATAAGTTCATTACAGTTAAGCCTGTGGTTCATTTTGAGGTTTTTTTTGGTAAAAGGTTGTGGGTTGGCCCCAGTATCAGGTCACAGTTACTCAAGTGCCAAGAGACAAGGTGGCTCTTCCTCTGTCACATCAAGTTTCTTGGGCATTTTTTTTTTTTAAAAAATCACTTTGACATATTTTTTGAGGGCTTCCTTGTTCCTTTCTAATCTGTCCTGCTGCCCTAAGTGTGCCTCTCCTGTCACCACACACTCTTGAACCTTAACACAGAGCGACAGTGACTTCTTACAGGTCTGAAATTCTTTTTAATGTACGCTAGGTCTTCTTCCTATTTTAAAAGATTGGTTTTATTTGTGTGTGTGTGTGTGTGTGTGTGTGTGTGTGTGTGTGTTTGTGTTTGGTTATATGTGTGTGATGGTGTATGTGAGATGGTGTGGTGGGGGTTTTTCCTTCACATCTGGTAAGTGAATTCTTTCTTTGTGTGTGTGTGTGTGTGTGTGTGTGTGTGTGTGTGTGTGTGTGTGTGCAGGCAGTTTTGAGCTACCTAATTGGATGCTAGGAACCCAACTCAGGTCTTTTGGAAGAGCAGCAAGCCCTCTTAACTGCTGAGGCATCACTCCAGCCTCTCCAAGTGTTACTAAAATGAGCTCGTGTGTGTGCAAACACATCCTGGAGCTTTGATAGGAACTGCTTTATGCACTGATCAGTTTGCACTGACTGCCACCTGAACTGCTAAGATCCCTGGCTCTAAGTGCGAGGTGTCTCCATTTATTTGATTCATCTTTGACTTCTAAATAGTCTCATTTTTTTCTCACATCACTTCTAAAGTTATTTTTTGAATTTCAAAGTTTATTTCTATTGTAAAACATAGGTTTTCGGTGGAATGTTTTATGTGCATAAAGGTGAGATGTAGTTTTAGAAATGACCCAGGTTTAGGATAGCTGATCTACAAGCTCTGTGTCTCCACATTTGAGGCCTGAACTGAGCTGCTTCTGTGTAATTAAAATTGTGTTGCAGTTAGTGTTTAATATGCAGTCAAGGACCTTCTTGTGCTAACTTGGTGATGTCACATCTGCTGCCACACCTTACTAGCTTTCTTCTGAGTGGTGTCGTTTCTGAAGCCCCCTCAGGAGGATTATTCTCTACTTTTAGCTTATTCTTTATCCTTCTCAACACCTTTGGCATCCAATTCAGTATATGTAATTATTTCCTTCATGCTCTCACTAATTAACACAGAACTTAAAATATGTGCCACTGAGTTTTTAAGCCTCATTTAGCTTCTTAAATTTTGCCTCATCCACTCTAAATTTATTTTTCCCTCTAGATCAGTTAATGATGATGAAGGCCCATAATTGCTTAAGAGTCAGGGAGGAGCTTGATTGTGATGCTGTATTTTGCACACTCATCAAAACCCAACGGTGGCCTGGCTCTGCCTCATAACTGTCTTCACCCCTGCAGTGTTCTAGAAGCTACACACTTCCCCCTAAGGCTGACTAGCTCTGTGGTGCAGACGACATTTGGTTTGTTTTGCTGGTTTTTTCTTTTTTTTTTTTTAAATATGTTATACAGAACAAGATACATACACTAAAATGGTTAGTTTAATAAAACAAAAATCCATCATCTCCAGGTGCGTGTATCTCTTCTCTGTGATATGAGCAGTTAACATGTACCCAGTTAATTAAAACCTTGAACATATTACATTGATTAACCTGATTTTCATATTGTCTATCACACCTTTGACATTTTTGAGATCGTTTTTATATTCATTTTGTTAGTTTTTAAGACTTTTATACGTGAGTACTGTGTTTATATCATTGATTTCCCATACTCTTTTCCCTTTGACTTGTCCTCTGTTCCTCCTTCCACTCCCTTTCAACTGCACAGTGTCTTTACCTATTACTGTTACATAACCAAAACCTGCTGAGTCACATAGTGTTACCCATATGAACATAGGTTTAGGGATGACCATCTGGAATTGGATAATCCAGCAGGGCCTTCATCCCTGGGGGAGGCTGATTCTTCCTCTCTCAGAGACACTAATTGCCTGCAGCTCCTTACCAAGGGATGGGACCTTATGAGATTTCCCCCACTCATGTCAGTATGTCAAGTGGTAGTGTCATTCTTTAGGTCTTGTTTAGGAGACCTGTTGTTTAATATTTCATGGTTACAACTTCCTGTCATATAGAATACAGAATCTTGCAGCAGATGACATGGGCCCTCTGACTTGTACAGTCCTTTTGCCTCCTATTCCATAATGTTCTCTGAGCCTTAATTATAGAGCTTGTATTGTAGATGTATCTGTTGAGGTTTGGTACCTGGTGCTGCTCTCTCTATTTTTGACCAGGTGTGGATTTCTGTGATTGTCTTCATCTGCTCAAAATTGGAGCTTTTTTGATGAGGGGTGAGAGCTAACCCTCACCATGGGTATAAGGAGAACTATTTAGTTAGAAATTACACTGACTTAAGAACATGACACTAGTAGGTTCACTAAGGTCCATGACCT